CCACCTAATACTAGTTGAAGATTGAACAACCAGCAAACACCCAAAAAGATACAACAGTCACTAATAAATGGGACAAAAGCAAAGGAAATCAAAACAGAGCAGAACAAACACTCTTCATAGACCCCTGATGGACTTCAGATTATAAAAGCAAATCATTGATTGAATAATCCACCCCCTTGATATGGTATTTTTTAACAGTGACTTAATGCAAAAGAAAAAGACAAAATGAAATAGGCATTTTTTATTGAATTCAAAACATATTTATCATTTAATTTGAGGTTATTTATACGGAAACCTCTTAACTATTGAAGAGTATCATTTTAATCACCTATAAAAACATACAAATGAACCCGCTAAACTATAAAAGCATACAAATTGACTTCCTAAACTATTAGCACATTTCATTTTGACCCCTTTTGTTACTGCATTATGAGTTAAATCAAACTTTCGATATTTTTTAGATGAAAATACCCTACAACACCATATATATTTATCATTCCATTATTATTGTTTTTAATTTTTCTAAATATAAGCATTCATCCATTATTATTGTTTTTTAAATATTTTTTTTCTAAATATATTTTTGAAGAAAGAATATTTAAAAAAAAATAATAAAACGAAACAACTCATAATATATACATATATATATATATATATATATAAATTAGTTAGTTTGATGAATGTTTACTTGAAGTTCATGCATCTCAAAACTTTCCTTCCAATATTATTCTATGTGAATAAAGTTCTCAAAGGAGCTCTCATGCCACAGTAGCAGTAGACATCACCCAAGTTTTGTAGTTGTTGACTACTGGATGTGATTTCATTTTTGTTTGAGCCTGTGTTGCTACTGTATGCCATTTTTTTTTTAGAGTTGGTGACTTATGGAGTGGAAGAGGTTTAGGGAGATGGACGGGTGGAAAATTGAGAGAAAGTTGTCCTGGGTGTGTTATATAGAATGTTGAAGGATATTTTCATCTAAAAAAATGTCAAAATTTTGGTTTACGTCACCATGTAATAACAAAAAGCGTTAAAGCGAAAACGCTAATAATTTAGGAGGTCAAATGATACTTTTTAATAGTTTAAGAGTCTCCGTGTAAATAATCCTTAAATTTAATATACTTATCATTAATCTATATATATATATATATTGTTCTAAGCATTTTTTACTTAATTTTAAGACATTTTTCACCCTAATCCCTATACTAAACATAGCATAAAGTCACTTGTTAGTATATTTCCCTTTAATAAAAAAAAATGTCATATGGTTTTCATTTTGTGAAAACAATTTTTGAAAATTTAAAAATTATTATGAAATATGTGACTAACTATAATAAGCACTGGCTTGGTATAATGGGTTGGGGTGAGTTGAGGCTAAAATAACCATAAAAGACAAAATAGGCCTTTTAGTTTCAGGCTAAAAAATGTCACATTCAAATCATAATAATTTCATTTTTTCTCTTCAAAAGTTAGAAAAGTCAAAAAGTTCTTTATAAACGAGATTTTTTAATCCCAGTCAAAAAGTCAACCCACGTCCCAAACCAACTTACTCTTCATGTTTTTGCTATAAATATGTACGTGTAAAAGATCAAGATTAGAAGGGAGTGAGGTGTGAAGCAGAAAGAAAAGAAAGAGTAGAGATGAGGCGAGAAAATGGTCAACACTATACTAAAATATATAGTTAAATTATTAAATAAATAACAGGACTAACATACTGAAAATCTATACCTAAAAGTTCTTGAAAAACTAAATACAAGTTTTTGAAAAGCGTAATCCTCTATGGCCTTGTTTGGGAAGTTGGATATTTTAGTAAGTTATTTTAGTTTTCTGCTATTTTAGTAGGCTAACATTTTTGTGTATGGGAACATTGTTGGATTTTTTTTAGTTGAATGTGATGTTTGTGAGAGAAAAAGTGAAATGATTATAAATTTGATGTGGCATTTTGTCTTATTAACTATTTTAGCTTATTTTGCCTTTTTGTGAATTTTAACTTGAAATTGACTAAAATAGCCTTGCTAAATTATTACTTTATTTGCTTTATATATATATATATATATTATTTTTATAACAAAAATAACTTTTTTATGTTTCTTAAAAAATGAGTTATTTTGAGAAAAATTTCTTGAATGTACAGTACTAAATCACTAACAAAAATGTATTTTAGTCTCTTTTAGAATGGAAGTGCTTCTCTCCTATTGGCAAACCAACTGTTCTGTGTGTTGTTAGATCTCATTAAGCTCTCATCTCAATAATTCAAATAATTCATTCTATAAATCTCTCAAAAAAAAATTATTTTTACAAAAAAACTAAATTGATCAAATAATTATAACTACGTGATCAGATCACATTTTTTATTTTTTATTTATCAAAATGATTGATGAAAAATACAATTTTAAGAATAGACCATTATTATTTTAAAAACAAATATAATTTGATCATGTGTTTATGATTATCTAATTAATATAAATTTTTTACATACATAATATATTCAAAAGGCACTACAAGATAAATAATTTAAATCAACCAGATAGGTCTCGAGGTGAAGCCACCAAGACCCAACATCACAATTGAGGTAACTTTACCAACTGGAGATTACATTATTAGAATTCTTTTTAACGTTAGTGATGACCTGGTCATGCTGATTTTGTAATGAATGTTGTACATAGAAATTATTTCCACAAGGATCTCCATACCATTATATTCAATAAACTTCCATTCTTCACTTTATGGACCTACAATGATAATTCTCTTGTAAACAAGGACTTAAGATCATGTTTGTTTAGGCAGACTAGATAAAGAGATATTGTAATCTATCGGACTGTTAATCCTGAGATACATAATCTCTGGACTACTTGATTGAAATGATGGATGTCTCATGTTTGTTTATACATGGGATTAGATGACAGCAAATGACTATTCTATTAAATCCTATGTTTGTTTGTCATATTATGAAGAAAGATAACTATTCAAAAGAATATTTTGCCCTTTAGGGGTTGTTTGGAGTGTCCTAAATAAGTGTACTTTTTGTCTTTTTAGACTAAAAAGTTGAGGGAAAAAAGATGGATGTTTGAGTTAACTTTTTGTGATTTTACGAAAAAATGTGTAATAAAAAATTGTATAAATAAGTGTATAGAAAAAGTAAGTGTAATAGGCTATACGACACTTTTTTCTGGGCAGAGCATAGGAGATAAGGACATGATTGCCTCCTTCGCGGCCAACTATTTGAACTGTGTTGTTTAATTTGTGGGGCCCACCACGAGTCCCATTTTGATAATCTAAACCGTTCAATATGTAGAACTTGTCGATTTAAAAAATCACATTGATCGAATATCAAAATCACATTGATCGGATTAGTTTTTGTTCACCAGTTAACCATAACACCATCCTTTTTTTTATACAAAACTAATTTGATCATATAATTAGTGATATTCGATCAACGTAATTTTTTACAAGCATATAATACTTAACGAGTTCTACATATTAAACGATTCAAATTATCAAAAGGTGACCTGTGGTGGCCCTCACGGGCCGAACAGCACAATCTAAATGGTTGCCCATGAAGGAGGCAATCATTTCTAGACCAGTACAGTAGACCAATCACGCGGACAACCCATCACTTCAACAAAATGTTGAGTTGTATTTTTTTATATGTAAATTTATTTATTTTTTTTGTATTTTTTTGTGAATAGTGATAACTTTTTAGCTTTTTAAGTAATTTTTTGACTTTTTATCTTTTTCAAGACATGCCAAACCAGAAATAATAGAAATACTAAATCTGAATTATAAATTTTATTTAATTTTCTGACTAGAACGTTTAAAAATAAAAATAAATAGAACATCAATAAAAATCACGTAAATTTATTTTAATTTTTAGTTAAGATTTTTAAATTTTATTTTACTTTACTATGTATAATTATTACCATAAATGTACCAAATTTGAAATTTTTTTAGCTCCATGATATTACGTCAAATCCAACACTAACCTCCATTCATAGATACACATCATAGCATAGATCCATGGTACATAAAAAAATGAAAAAATAATAATAATAAATAAACATAACAGTAACAAGAAGCACATGTAAATAACAATAATAATAAAACAAAAAAACAAAAAAAAAAAACATAACAACGGAACCAAGCGTGGAACCTTCTTAAACCAAGTGTGGAACAGAGCATCATGTCCACCGGAACATTAGAAATGTTGATGGTTAAAAATGTATTTTTACTATCTAATCCTATGGGAATTGTTATATCTTGGGTTTTGTATCCCACACCCCTTCATGTGACAGAATAATCCAACAAATTTGAGACTAAAGTCTGCATAGACTATGAGTCTAATATAAAATTTCTAAACCAAACAATAAACTATTCTATATTTCGGACATGGAGTCGCATCGCATGAGTGAATCCCATCAAACAAACGTGGAAACACTAGGCAGTTTTTCATTAAATTCAAAACACTTACCATTGAATTTAATACACTTTTCATTAATCAAAACTCACATATATATATATATATAATTCTAAACTTTTTTACTTAATTTTAAGACATTTTTCACCCTAATCCTGGTACTAAACATTCCCTAAAGTCACTTGTTAGCACATTTTCTTTTAATCAAAAAAATGTCACAAGGTTTTCATTTTGTGAAAATAATTTTTGAAAATTAAAAGTTAACTTTTCTGTGTTCCTTGAAAAGGTTGTTTCCAAAAAAAATTCTCAAAAATATATTTCGGATATAGTTTTGAGAACAAGTTTTCATGTTTTCTAAAACACTAAAATCACACCAAATAGGCATTTAACTCTTGGGAAAATCATATTTTGAGAAAATTTAATTTCGTGCACAATTATGTATTATTTTTCTTTGCTGATAAAAAAAAAATATGAAACTATTTCCACACCTTTATATAATGCCAACTGTCTATGATGTTAGGTTACATTAACTATAGATGTGACAATCATGAAAATGGATTTTCTTTTTCTTTTTTTAATTTAGTACAAGTAAATGAAAAACTTCAACATCACATACCTGAAAACGCCATCTAAGTTTGTTGATTTCTTCCCATACCGCCTTGGTAACCAATCTGCTTTATACTTTTCACATTCCTATGTCGTTCTCCTTTAACAATTCTTGCAAACCACTTTGGTCTTCCAATTAAGAACATGACATATCCCATAACCAATCCCAATACCATTCCACATCCATACCCCATCGCCACAGCTTTCCAAGTAAATCCACCTAAAAAAATTGTATCACCTTCCTCTTGAAATACAAGAGGTGGTTGATGTTTTGCCTCAGTATCTCCACATTCCTTTGACAAGGGTAATCCACATAATCCCACTTTCCCAACATATGAATCATTTTGAAATGTATCAAATTGATAGCCTCGAGGTATGGGTCCGACTAGATGGTTCATTGAAAGGTTTAAGACTGCAAGAAACGTCAAAGTCGTGAGTTGCTCTGGAATATCCCCAGTGAGTTGGTTCGAAGAGAGGTCTAACGATTCAAGCATTGATAGATTTCCCAATGATAATGGAATATCACCCGTCAGGGAGTTATGAGAAAAATTAAGCAATCGGAGAGCTTGTAGCCTTCCGATGACATTTGGAATCTCTCCTTTGAATTTATTGTCTGAGAAGTCAATTGTTGTGAAGATGAATAGAATATTTGATAGTTCAACATTCAACCCCTTTATGACTAGTTTTACAGAATCTTGATAATAATTTTCCCCCATATATTTCAAGGCTGCTTTATTTTTATCTACATGTCTCATGGCTTTGAAATTTCTGAAATATGTTACTGACAGAAGTCCAGTGAACTTCTTGTGAGAGAGGTCTATGATTCGAAGCTTAGGAAAGGGAACTTTAATCCTTGAAGTGTTTATTGGAACATGATATCTATTTGATTGCAGGATAAGAACCTGCAATTCTGGAAGAGACTCCAACCAGCAGGGGAATGTATCATTTAGTTTGTTGTTTCCGAGATCTAGTACTTCCATGTGTTTACAATTGGCCAAAGATCGTGGTACTTGTCCTTCCAAATGACTTCCATTCAAGTTAAGATTCCTCAAATGATTACTCTTTTCGAATGTCGTTGGAATGGTCCCATGAAAATCATTCATCTGTAGATCTAACACCGATAGCACATTGCTGGAGTTTCCCAAACATTGTGGAATTACACCACTCAGTTTGTTATGAGAAAAATCAAGGAGGACAAGGGAACTCAAATTGCAAATCGATGAGGGGATATCTCCAGTGAGCTTATTGTGTGAGATCAAAAAGTAAGACATAGAGAGTGTTGGAACTGGCACTGGTCCTTGAAGATAGTTATGAGAAAGATCTAAAAGATATGGAGCCTGCCCAACCCATTTTGGAATTTGACCATGAATTTTGTTGTGGGAAAGATTTAGTGTTTGGAGAAATGAAGCCTGCCCAACCCATTTTGGAATTTGACCATGAATTTTGTTGTGGGAAAGATTTAGTGTTTGGAGAAATGAAGCCTGCCCAACCCATTTTGGAATTTGACCATGAATTTTGTTGTGGGAAAGATTTAGTGTTTGGAGAAATGAAGCCTGCCCAACCCATTTTGGAATTTGACCATGAATTTTGTTGTGGGAAAGATCTAGTGTTTGGAGAAATGAAGCCTGCCCAACCCATTTTGGAATTTGACCATGAATTTTGTTGTGGGAAAGATCTAGTGTTAACTAATTTATAAAATTTTTATAAATATAAACTGAAAACGTAAACGTTACCAAACAGACCTTAATAAGTTTAAAATCAAAGCAATGAAAATTACTAAGTAGATAGAAAAGTATTGAATGGCAAATTAAACCAAATCAAAATAGATTAAAAAAATGGTAAAATAAATAAAAAAATTCAAATGATAATCATCATACTGTGGATGTGGGTGAGTAAATTTCGACATGGCACGTGGGCAAGGTTTGGACTGAGCTTATACTATTTAATAATATTTTAAATGATTTTTTAAATATCATTTTTCTTACAAATTATTATGTTTTTTTCACGTTGACCTCTATACTTCGATTTTTTTTAATTTAGTACATGAATTTTTCACAAATTGATCAATTAGACCCTTGTCATCACCTTTCGTCCACAATTGGACGGAATGTACTGATATGGAGGACAAATTGATTTTTAATTTGGGCGTAAATTGATTTTAAAGTATAGATTGGGGGATAAAATTAAATTTTAAATGTCACGTCAGCACATTCCGTCTAATTATAGACGTAAGGTGATGGCAGGAATCTAATTAATCAATTTGTAAAAAATTCAGGTACTAAATTGAAATAAATCAAAATATGGGGATCAACGTGAAAAACGCGTGATAGTTTGGGGGGAAAATAATATTTACTCTTTTTAAATTTGATTTGGCCTAAGATTGGATCAATATTTTATTCTTAAACTTGTTAAAAAATAAATTTAAAAAATTAAGTCGGTTTGTAGCTTAATTATTATTCATTATAGTTAATTTTTATATTTGAAAATAAAAAAATATAATTAATTTAATGATCTGATTGCCTAAATTAATATTTTAAATTTTATAATTACTTTTTACATGATTAACAATACATAATTTATGTTTATAAGAAAATGAAATCAATTATAATAAATATATATATATATATACATATTTATTGTATAATATAATTTGTAGACAAGTTAGGGTGGGTTGGACTTGAAGCACTAATCTTCAACCTAACTTATGTTGGGTAAATATGGTCAAAAGTTAATTTTTAACTTTTAACTCATTTTGAGTCACATTATTTCTCATGTTTTTTACACATAAAAAAATAAAAAATAAAAAAGTCAAAAAAAAAGTTAAAAAGTCAATTTTTAATCAACTTTTCAAATCACCCCATTTTAATCAAATTAAAACATTTTACTCAAACCAACCTTTTATGAATCCAAATAATAATTTCAAACTCTATAAAGGTGTTGTTTGGGAAAAAGAAGTTGAGGCTATTGTAGCCTCATATATGAAATAAGCCAAAAAGCGTGAACAGTGCATGCGTGTGTACAACTAGGTTACAAACAACGGTCGAATTACCATTTTACCCTTTGACTATTTCAAAGGATAGTATATTGGGTTTATACACAGCTGAAACAAAGCCTCTGCCCTATTCTCATCTCTTCTGTCTCTCATAACTGATTGCAGCGACACGAGTTCGCGTGACTGATCTCTCTCCGGTGGACCTATCTCCGGCAGAGCTCTGTCTTCTACACAACACGACCGACGAAGAACTACGATAAGTAAATCACCTGAACTGATTGTACATGTAATAACTCGACCCTCGTATGTGATTCTGATATATTCTCAGTCCCTTACTCTGTGCTTTCAAATGCTTACTGTGAAATTTTATGAGGAATTAAGGTTAATTAAGTGAATCATATGATTGTGGATACATATCTATTTAACAAGGAAAGTATCTGTCAAGATTAGAATGTTTGAATCAGAAATTAAGGGCCTTAGAGACTTGATAATCCGAAATTGATTTTATATTTGAAATCAGCGTAATTTTAAAGTAATAATAAGCATTGCTGTGAAATTTCAATTTAGGATGATTAAACGATTTATTTTTTTCCTATTCATTTCTTATAGATATATGTGTGTTCTTTAACCATTTGACTTAAGAATTCCTAGCTTAAAAAAATCTCCTGAGAGAAAGAAACTAGAGGGGAACTTCTTCAAGATCAAAATTGGATAATTTAGAGGGAATTCAAGAGTATTAAGCTTAAGGTAAGTCTAACCCATCTAATTTCACTTTCTTTCCTTGCTTTAAAGTAGGAATTTCTTGATGTGGTGTGGATTAGGGTTGTAAGGGAATTCATATACACACGTGTGTGTGTTTGATAGTTAGTATGATAAGCTTATCATTTACTTGTTTTGAGTTAAATTGAGCCATCTAGTAAGAATTGTATTCTACTTCCTTAATTTTCAAGCTTGGCCCCATCTATATGACTAAGTGGCTATATATATGTGTGTGTGTGTGTGTGTGTGTGTGTATGTGTGTTTGTGTGGGTGTATGGAAGATGTCAATACTTTGGAATTGGACGTGTTCATGACTTGAAGATTAATGATCTTAATCAAAGTGAGGTAATATGTGTTGTGAATCCTATTCATGTAATTTTTAAGCCATATCCTATCAAATGCTAGATTTATCTTGGGCTTTATAAACACCTACCAAAGTGGGATTGTTGGTGGAAATTTGGACTGCCCAAACAGGGAAATCGCCGCACGTGCGGGGGTCATGGCCGCACGTGCGGGAGCATCAGCCGCACGTGCGGGAGTCATGGCCGCACGTGCGGAGAATGGAAAATTTTTGAGTTCAGCTACTGCTAAAAAGGCACATACAGGGATTTCCAGCCGCACGTGCTGGACCAACCGCCGCACGTGCAGGGCTCACAGCCGCATGTGCAGGCCATGTTGAAAAAAATGGTTTTGCTCCGTTTTGCGTGCTTGACCCTCGGATATTTTTAGAATTTGTATTTTATGCCTACTGATGTTGTAAAATTCATTTGAAGTGAAATGAAACAAAAAGTAATGTAACAAAGAGAAATGAACTAATTTGCAAGTTATGAATGTGTACAGGTGTAGACACCCCATTTTTAACCGCCCTTAAGACTTGGACGCGACTGATGGTTTACATGGTGGAGAAAGGTGTGCAGGGGAAAAGTTCAGTTTCTTCGGCAAGGAGAGAGTCAAATCTCAACTTTATACCCCTTTTTGGACCAAAACAATCTTGATCAAAAGATTTTAGACCTTAAAACCCTCTCTTTCAAAACGTTTTTGAAATAAAGTTTTTATGATGTTCCGAGGCTCGCATTTTGTCAAATGTTGCGCTTTTCGGTAAACCGAGCAAGGACAAAGTGGAAATGAATGAAAGAAAGATGAAATCTTTGAAAAATATTTCAAAAAACCTTGTCTAGGGGTTTGGATTTGAAGAAAATAGGAGAAGAGAGACGAAAACTAGTTTGGGAGAGGTTCAGCATGAATCCGGGTAGGACCGAAACTGCGCGACTCCACCGAAACGAGCATAACTCTTTGCACAGGAGGAATTTTGATGCGAGGTTGGCGCCATTGGAAAGATAACTTTTGGGGCTTCAATGTGGCCACATGGCAAACCATAAAATCAGATGGCCGACCAGATTTTTTGGTCAAAAGTGGTTCAGCATGAATCCGGGAAGGAGAAAAAACATCTGCGCGGCTTCACCGAAACGGAAATAACTCTTTACAAAGGAGGAATTAAGATATGAGGCCACCACCATTGGAAAGATTACTTCTGGGGCTTCATTTTTCACTCAAGAATATCCTAAGGACAAATCCAGGTGGGGGAGATATGGTTGGTTGAAGTCCGGTTGGACCGAATCTGCGCGGCTTCACCAAAACTAGCATAACTTTCTACACAAGAGGAATTTTATTGCAAGGTTTACGGCATTGGAAAGCTAACTTCAAGGGCTTCATGGAAGACCAGATTTGGGGCTTGAACGTTTTGACCCCTGGTCGGCCGACCAGGGGTAGTGGCCGGCCGGCCACTTGAACTGGCCGGCCTGCTTCTTGCTTTTTGCCCTCTCTGAATACTTTACAGCTGTGCCAGCTGGGGGGCATTTGGTGCATCTTTGAAGCTTCGAAGAGAAGCTTTGGCCTCTCTTCTCTATAAGAGACCCTCCTCTTCATATCTAAGGGTTAGACATTTTTGCTTAAGGATTATAACCTCCCTCCTCTATTGTCACTATTCCAAGCTCCAAAACCCTAATTTTCTTGGTCCATTTACACTACAACCCTTAGCACCACACCTCCATCATCCATTCCAGCACC